GGGCGGTCAGCGCTGCGCCAGGCTGCGCCGAAAGTACGCTTAGGCTGGGAGCTTGCCCGGGTAATCACGGCTCTATAAACACGGGTCCTGCAAGTTTTGTCGCTTCTGAGAGTTTAAAATCCGAGTAAGTTTTAAGTCCTGTGAAATAAATTTCGGAACATTACCAAACTAGTTTTTCTCTTAAAAGCATCGGTTGAAACGTTTATTAAGTCGAAAGAGATGCGCCTGAAACAGACGTTCTTTTATTACAAATGGGGTTGTAGCAAAGTAGGGTAAAAACTTCCTATTGCTCAAGTGGTCTCAGTCTTTGCAGTTGTGTGTGTAGGCTGTGTGCGACCTCCACAGCTGGTCTGTTGGACTGCCTTGTCCAGTGTAAAACGTGATCTGATCAGGCTGGACTGAGGCCTAGTGACAGTGGGAACAGGGAATATGCCTCCATGAACTGGCTGGAGGCAGAGAGGCTTGCGTATGCATCGTGTTAAAGAGTTCATGGTGATGTTTGTCTTGTGTTACTCTAAAAGCTCAGTGTCTTCATATCAGCTAAAAGGGGTTTTTTTTTTGTCTTCATTCAGAGCAAAGAAGGTGCCATCTGTACCGGAAAGCCTGCTGAAAAAACGGCAGGCTTATGCAGCTATAAAAGCCAAACGTCAGAAGAAGATGTTGGCTATAAAAAAGGTAAATATTTCATGACTCCTTAACTCGAATTGCTTACCTGTTGCAGTATCAGCTGCTGCTGCTGATGTAATACAGCACAGAAGTTTACAGTATTTAGGTCTAGCATGTTGATGTTTTCTTAATGTTTTGGACTAAAATATGCTGCTTTTTTTTTTTTGTCAATAACAAACCAGTTCTGGGCAGAGCAAGGGCAAAGTGTACAGTGTATATAAGATTAAAGTTAGTCTTCTACAAGGCAAGAGGTTGTAGGCTTTGTGAGTGTAAGCTTGATGCGTGATAACGTTGTTGAAAGTAAAGCAGCACTGCTGCATAGCAGTTTTCCAGGTTCTCTAAAATGTCACCGAGAGTGATTCTAAAGCCCATGAAATGGGTCTTGATGTTCCTTTAATCCGTGCTATTTGTAGGAAGTTCTAGAATACGCTGTGTCATTTGAAGGTGACTTTCATGGGTTAAAAAAGCACTGTATAACCTTAAGGAATTTTCAATTTATTTCAGTTCCGTAAGGCACAAAGAAAACTCATCTATGCGAGAGCCCAAGCTTACCACAAGGAGTACAGGCACATGTATAGACAGGAGATCCGTATGGCCAGGATGGCCCGAAAAGCTGGCAATTACTACGTTCCAGCAGAACCGAAACTGGCATTTGTGATCAGGATAAGAGGGTGAGATTGAATACAGATGTAAACAGTCTTATGTTCAAAAGCACTGAAATTGGCTTTCCTGTATCTGTTTTGAGGGCTTAAATATGTAAATAAAACCAAGCCTTCCGCTGGTGGGTTGGGAACTCGTTGGCAGTAACGTTGTACATGCACCAGAGGGTTATTTAATTAAGTGCAAAATCATGATGCTGGCTATGTCTACTGTCTTTAGAAACCCCTGATTTTTAAGAAGGCGGCAAGGCTACAAATACATGCAGACAGTTGTTCTGTTTCACCTTCATCTTGATAAAATTACGTGCCAGTATCCCCTAACATTTTACTAAGCGTTGTTTGACACGTTTGTTTAACTCTCCTTTGGTAAAGCATCAGAGGACACCAACAAAAGGTGTGATCGGGAGAATTATGTTCAGGAGAGCACAAGGATAGTTATAAATTGTTTCAGTATAATGCTTATTTCAATTCTTTCCATAGAAATAGATCTACTTAACACTGAAATACATGGTGGTAGTAAGTAATTTACTGAGCTTGCTTTCTGTAATCATTAAAACAGTGATGAGTTTCATACGGGAACAATACTATTGTGGGCTCTTTTAACCTGATACTTAGTACTGGGATGTAGATAATTGAGGCTTTTTTCCAATGTTCTCTAGTACCAATGGTGTCAGCCCCAAGGTCCGCAAGGTGCTGCAGCTCCTTCGCCTGCGTCAGATTTTTAATGGCACGTTTGTAAAACTCAACAAAGCTTCTATCAACATGTTGCGGATCGTTGAACCCTATATTGCATGGGGGTGAGTGAAACGGCCAGTTTTATCCAGCCAGGTGCCTTTTGCATTTTGCTATGCTAGACTTGCAGGTTTCCCTTGTGTTCAAAATGTCTTTATACCTTCTGTGTGCTTTCCCTGCTTTGAATTGGAAACGTGACTAAGGCACTGTTTTAAAAGGCAATGCTTTCTAGATGCGATTACTCTCTCATACTGGTGGTGTTCGGAACTCGGTATAAGTAAGACTTGCTTCTCTGTCGCTTTTGTATTTACAATTGGGACATGCTGAAATGATCTTAAATTGTTTGTTAT